TGCTAATAAGCCAAAACTACAAGAACTGGAATAAATCCGGGCAACGTTCAGACCCACAAAGTTATATTTAACATCGTTGCTGTGATTTGGGCAAGGGAAGCAGTAGCTGGAGCAGATCTATTTACACTGCAGATTCAGAGGGGCAGAGACCATCTTGGTAATGACGAAGCATGTACAGCACTCTTCACTAATATTTCTATTAATAAATATTCCCACTGCTATTAAGTAATAAAACAAAAACGACGGCAGAAAATGAAAGGTCAATGATGCGTTACATTAACTCTGAGGCATCCAGGGACAAAATGCAAAAAGGCAAACTCTCCCAAGTGGTAGCAGGCAAGAGGACACCTATGTTGTTTTCTTGAGTGTTTTGGCAATCCAATTAGAGGTAATTGGGTTTTTAACTACATGAGATTACTTCAAAAATACCATCACTAGAGGCGAAGTGTCCTGGGAGGCTGGGGGAAGGGAGAACAGGAACATTATACAACTGGAAGGAACAGAAAAGGGACAGCCTGAAACATGCTGGAGAGAGCATAAGCCTAAGGCACTCATTTTTTACAAATATGGAACTGGCTGGGCCACAGACTCAAAAGGTTCCATGTTCCCACACTAGTGAATTAAAGAGGAGCTAAATACGTCCACAATTCTATGCGTTTTTAACCACAACAGCAACGTAAAGCACAGATCTACAAGCACCAAAAGGTTCCTACAGTAAATGCCAGAGACATAAGAAGAAAACTGAATTCCTGTAACAAAATTAATTCCTGTTGCACTTGCAAACTGCCATTTTGTGTGCAATACATATGAGCACCTCTTTTACACCTCAAAATGAGCTTCACATTAAAGCTACCTCCCAACCAGAAATGGTCACTCCATTCACCAAGAAACAGAGGAACGATTCTCTTGCCAGACTTAGATTTGTTTTGCACCCCCTGATAAGCCCTAGAAACATCATTCATTCCTAACAACCTTTGCTCTTTTTGACAGCTACTAAAATCTGAAGTACCAGAATTGACAGGAAATAGCATTTTTAGCACTACTGCAACGATTGCTACTTTTGTGGCTTTACACAGATTTGAGATTAAATAAGACTGTTTTAAATATTCAGATATGCTTAAAGTGTATTTCTTAATATGATGACCATGATAAGGAGAAAGCTCCAAAGCACTTCCATCCCCCCACTCACAGGGGTAAATCAAACTGATTGATTTGGAAGGTAAACTTGGTGCACAGAAGATAAAATTTACTGAAAAAGTTAAACAGCAGACTAGAGAGACAAACCCTGCTTCCACTTGAAAGGAGAAAAAAAAGAAGGAATTAAACAAAAGGAAAAGTGAAGGAGACCCTGTCCCCATGAACTAATTGTCTGTCTCGTGCTATAGGGGATGCTCTTGCTTAGCTTACAAGTGAAAGACATTCCCTCCTCCCCCTGCAAGCAGAGGAACTCACAGCACTAATATGACACCTTAAATGAGCCAACTTCCTTGAGCATTGCCCAGGAGACTAGAATGGACATGCCTCCTAATTCAGACACCGAGAAACATGTCCAATTAGCAGCCAGGCAGAAGAGCATCTCTGATCAAGGCCTTCCCAGGAAAAACACTCATGTTCAAGCCAGAAAAAAAACCAAACCCGTGGATTGCCACAACTGGCACACTTTTATAGCCTTTGTGTAAACACCAGCTTTGGATTAGCCACATCTCAGCTAGCTCTATCTGGATTCCTTTCTTTGGAAACAAAATTAAGGAAAACACCCACCAGAAAAGGTCAGTGACCAAACTACAAGGAAAAACTAAAAGCACGGGAGAAGAATGTACACAGTGATTCATTAAATGTGCGCTGCTGAAACTCTGACAGTGAGACAAGGCTTTTCCCAGAAATATACCGAATGAGCAGAACTGCTGAGCCAAACAGAGCACTGAGCTGTGCCAGGAGAGGTTTAGGTTGGATATTAGGAAGAAATTTTTTACAGACATTGGAATGGGCTGCCCAGGGAGGTGGTGGATTCACCGTCCCTGGATGTTTTTTAGATAAGACTGGATGTGGCATCAGTGCCATGGTCTGGTAACCACGGCGGTGGTGGATCAAGGGTTGGACTTGATGATCTCAGAGGTCTTTTGCAACCCAGTAGATTTTATGATTCTATGATTAATTAGAACTATATTTCTTAAGAAATTCCCAGTACTCCCCTAGAGCTGCCCCTACCAATACAGGTAGTGTGAACCCCAATGGCTTAGAGAGGAGCAAACCCAAAGCAACTATAAAGAGCACAAAAAAAGCTCCACCTACTCCACGTGTACACCTACACAAAACTAATGAACTGAGCATCTCGGGTTCTTAGAAAAATACTCAGTTTGGAAAATACACTTATCAATAAGGTGAGTATCCAGGTGTGGATTCACCTCACACTGTCACCAGAATACACCATCAGGGATCATCAACCCCACCAAATCACGTGCAGTATTGCTTGTTACAAAACTAACTCTGCTCTGCACCCAGTAACTTGCATTTCACTACAATAACTTTCCAAGACACACCCCAATCCTAATCTGAAAACATCAAGAATCAGAGATTTCGTTGCATTCCAGACTCAGCTTTAACAGTGAGGCCAATTAACCGGTGGAGCATTGTGAACTTTAGGTCTTACTCGTTCCTTCAGTTCCTATTTAGATCCAGTTTGTTTAACTGAGGTGACTGGATCTCGCTGCATTTAGGGCTGCACTGCTCAGATTTGGCACGTTCTGTGTGAAGGAGGTACTTACTGTAAATTGAGTCATACCTTAACCTTCTTCCAAACCAGAGGCAGATCACAGTAGAAAGCAGATCTTTCGGCCTTTGAATGGACTTTTGTCCATTTTGTGTTCTGATTTTTGCACTCAAAATGCAGTCAGCAGAACTCTCCAATCCATGGCTCTTCCCAACACTGCACTCAGAAGGACAAGTCCTTTCCTATTTATTGCTGGGTTATTCACATACCCAAGGTCCACCCAGCACATGCTGTGACGAAGGGTCAAACTGCTTTGCTTGCTTAGCTAAACTTCCAAATCCTCTTCACAATGCCTGTTATTTACCCTCCTATTTATAATTTTGTATTTAGCCATATTAGAACACATTCATTCAAATGAGGCCAGCTTGTCAAAGCAGCCCCTTAAACTGTCAATTTGCATATCATCCACAGCAATTCAACATCTGCTTCCAAGCACTGAGGTGTGTCCTAGCAGAATACCCACAGAACATTCTCATGCTGGGGAACCAACTACTTTAAAAATTACAATTAAGCCACTTAATATATTTATTGTCCAGAATCTCAATATTATTATTATTGTGTAATATAATCTCTATATACTTCTAAAAATTATTGTGATGTAATACCTAAATCAAGCCTCCTGTACAGAAAATATGCACACATTCACCTTTCTCAACAAAACCTCTAATTTTATCAGTGTAAAACTTTTGTTTGATGCAATCCATTTTCCATAAATAGCGGTCACCAACTTCAAATACTCCTATCCTTAACTTTATTGCTAAAAACATTAGTAGAAATAAATACAGTTAAATTGTTCGTTTTTAATTTAGGACTAAGCTCAATCAGGGTGAGGCATTTTTTTGTTTTCTGGGATTGAACAAATTAAATTATCTATTCACATTTTCTGAACATTGGTATAGTAACAATTAGTTATCTGATGTATCCTCTATTATTCCAAATGCTAAGATTTAAATGTCGTGCTGCTAGAGATCTCTTCATCCAAGTCTTTAACCATTCCCAGATAAAGTGTACTTAGGGCTGCAGATCTCAAAATGTCCACTACCATATACAGCATTTAATATTAATTTATAAATGCATTAGAAAATACTTCCACTGTCCTGATCATGTAACATAAGGTTATCTTCCTTTTCCCAGGAGAAAGGCCACAGCAAGAAGAAGTACAGGCACTCAACTGGAGTATTTTTAAACAGAACAACAAACATTTTCTATCCACTGGCTTTCCTACACAAACAGAAAATATCTCACAAACCATATCAATCTCCCCCAGATTCTTAGACTTTAAAAGAAATTGGAAGAAGATCAATTTATAGAACAGGAAAACAAGAAAACAATCTACACAGCTTTGCAAAAGCTGGCACCACTTTTGGAAAAATGAGCTGCAAATGCTTCTACACTGCGAACACTTTGGCAGATAATGAACACAGTATAAATACTCCTGGCAAAAATAAATTGACTGCTGATAGGAAACTAATTTGATGCAAAGGTTTTTGCTTTGCTGCCTTGGGTATTGAGAAGGGTGGAGAGTGCTGGTTATTTTTAAGACATCGTTTACCATTATCAAAGTCTAAAATATGCAGGGATTTAAAAGAATACAAAACAGAAGACCAGTAAGGTGCAGAAAAGATCAGTAACTCATGCTCCCACCTCCAACTTTACATTTACACACAGAGGCTGACATGTATGTGCACCAAGTGGTGGTACAGAACAGGAATGCTGACAGTACTTCAGCTGCCACCAGAGTAGTGACACATTTGCAAGAGTATTTGTTGCTTTCTAGAGCCAAATAACAATGAAAATAATGTCCTTAACCTTGGCATAATTATCTAGATTGTCACTTTCATACTCACAGATTGCTCCAGTGCTTAAGTAAATCTGAAAAGAGTGAAGCCTATTCTTGAACTTCCAAAATTTCAACTTCCAGAATTGGTACAGAAACAAGAAAAATCATTCAAAGACACCACGATTTTGCAGGGAGAGAGGTATGGCTTGTTTTTTGACAACTATGTAATGAAAATGTTTCAGATATTTGTGATGAGTGGGTCGTCTCAGTATTCCAACTAGTGGAACAATGAAATTCTTCGATTAATTCCTAATTACTTAGTTAATTGGAAGAGGATAGGGTATTTATTTAACATAATATGCAACTCAGGTTTAAATAACCTCTGAATTTCTTATGAGGAAACCCTTGGCCTTTTGAAAGGCATTAAAAGAAGAAACAAGCAAGTCTTACCATTTTGATGCCAGTGGAAAACGTGACTGGTTTGACAGGTTTGGGTTTTTCCAGTTGCATTTCTAGCTGAGTAGATCTGTCCTTATGCTGAGCTAAAAGCAGTGAAGCAGGAAGATCAGAGCTCTCCTGTAAACGTACGAGGAACAAATTTGAATGCTAAACCAAAACAAATATTAATCAACACTACATAATCTTCAAAACTGCAAGCTGTGTCTGCAAGGCCATCACTAGGAGAGCAGGGTAATGCCAAGAATCCTTTAAGAAACAGTTTGCAGAAAAAGATCATTTTCAGTAATAAGAAAAAGCTGCAGCAACCCCATAAATCAGAGCAACCTGCAAACAACCATTTTTATAGAATCCACATTAAAGACAATATAACAGGCTCCTTATTCCAAGTGGCCAATGCAACTATATTTATTAAAATAAAAAAAAAAAATTAGAACTTAATCAGAGAAGGAATAATACCAAGTAGTATAACTTGGATCAGATGTTTATCTAAGACACATTCTTTCTACCAATGAACTCAGACCAGTTTGAAATTGTTTCCCATTAGATTTCACCTGAGGCCGTTTGGAAATGATCCTTGCTCTGCTCTGCACAATGGCACTATTGTAAGTGCAACCAACAGCATATTTATTTTCTCCTTCAGCAACTTATTTTTAGGGAAGCCAGCCAATTTTTTTTTTTTAAAAAATATATATAAAGTAGTAAAATGAATAGTTAAGCAAATGAACTACTTAAACTCTCAGGACAAAATGATTATTAACATACATATATGTAACTGCATTCCTGAGAGGGTCAGGAAATTATTGGCTAAGTAATTTTCTAAGAGGCTAATGCAACTATCCACACACACAGAGAAATCCTTGAGAATTCCTGGCTAGAACTGCCATAAAGTTGAGAGCAGGGAAGAAGTTCAGATGGATTCTTCCTGAACTGCTCTAGTGCAGTATTTTATTCCTAAGGCCCTCAAATATCACATACACTTCTGTTTCAAAAACCAAGTAAACACTGAACTATGAAACCATATTTGTTACTCACAAAACTTCATTAACTGGACTGTGATTTTTTTTTTACTTAGTTCAAGGCAAGAAGTTGGATGTTTTTAATGCCATGACATGTTTTGCTGTTTTCATGGTATCCAAGAAAAATCTTCTGAAGTGATCACGAAGAACAGTCACATTATACACTGACTTTTCGCATCACTTACCGGTCCTTTTTCCTCTCTATTTTTTGTTACACTCCCTTTATCTAACAAGCAGATTGCAAGTTAAAAGTAGAAAAACCTCACACGGCAAAATCTGCTCCAGAATTACAAATAGAACAACTAACACACATGATCCTACTCACATTTCTGTGATTAACTGGGAGGAGGAGAGGGCAGATGCTAAAAACCTAAACTGCAGTAAGTGACAGCAAGAGACATCTAATTTCTATAGAACTTGAAGAAAACTTGGACCACAAATGCAACAGTTTACAGTCTGCTTCTTCCAAGAGTTGTACATCTCTAAACACCACACAGCAGCATATGCTGCCAGCTGCCAGAGGTTAAGGATGCTGAATTCTTTTAATCATCAGATCTAACATGTTGGGGGAGAAGGGAAGAGTGGGAAGAGATCTCTGGTTCATTTTGTCCTCTCGTATTCCTCAAACACTCACTGCATTTCTAACAAAATAAGTCAAGGAAGCCAATTTCGCACCAGCTTCTCAAGAGTTCTCACAATGCCCAGTAACCAGATTACACAACTGTGGGAAACCCACACCGTGCCAGCAAGGCACCACATCCTGATTGTTTGTCCTTCTGAGTGCACACAGAGCCCTTCTGTTAACTATTAACACACGTGAAAGTTCCAATGCTGTGAGCGTTTACCCACAGCAGCAATTTTCTGTATGGGAAAACAAACTGCTGGTTGTAGGCAACAACGGCTGAAAGATCGGTCTCAAAACCCACAAGGTTCTGGTAAAAGTGTGGATATGATGTCTTTAAGGCACCTTGCTCTTTGCTTGGCTCCAAGCTATGCCACAGCCCAGGGAAAACCTGCCTCTGCCATGTGCTGCAATCTCATTTTGCTCGTGGCTGGGAAGTGTCCTCTTGAAGAAGAGAGTGCAAGTCCCACAACACACAAGACATCTAAGAGCAGATGGAGAATCCTCTCTATATATGTGAGAGTGTTTATACAGCAAATAAAGAAAATGCCTTCAATCTTCCAATAACATATAAAATGCATTTGAGACTACAAGTCTAAATTACGACAAGGAGCTGTGCTTTTAAAGTGAGAGGTTTTATTGTAAAAGACGTCACTTAAAGTGAAGATACTACAGCATCTAATTTAGTACTGGAGAGCAAAACAAGTACAGGACCAAACTGCTCTTCCAGTGGCCTGCAAAACTTGAGCCTCCACAATGCCTTGGTCACCTCTCCACCAAGTGACACCAGCTTTCCCCTCCCTGTTCCCAGCCAAGGATGGGTTCATGGAGCCTTGGCCCCAGGTCCAGTCCTTTCTGCAAGAGCTGCTGCACTCCCCAGGCTGACCAAAAACCAGAGCCTGCTGCACAACACTTTAAATGCCAAACATTTCTATGCCTTTTTCCCTGCCTCTGGACTACCTAAATTACAGGCTCTTTGAAAGTGGCACAACATTCTCAAGCACTTTTGCAAACAACTGAGACCTTTACTCCATACAAAACCACCACAAATAACACATATGGACCACCAAGATGATTAGAGGGAAGGAGCACCTCTCCTATGAGAAAAGGCTGAGAGAATGGGGATAGTTCAGCCTGGAAAAGAGAAGGCTTTGTGGTGACCTAATTGCAGCCTTACAGTACCTGAAGGGAGCCTACAAGAAAGATGAAGACTATTTACAAGGGCCCAGAGTGACAAGACAGGGGAAATGGCTTTAAACTGAGAGAAAGTAGGTTTAGATTAGATATTGGAATAAATTCTTTACTGTGAGGGTGGTAAAACACTGGCACAGGTTGCCCAGAGAAGCTGTGGATGCCCCATCCCTGGAAGTGTTCAAGGCCAGGTTGGATGGAGCTCTGAGCAATCTGGGATAGTGGAATGTTCCCTGCCCATGGCAGGGGGGGTTGGAATGAGATGGTCTTTAAGGACCCTTCCAATACAAGCATTTCTATGATTCTATGAGATTCACAGCTTCTTAGGATTTCAGCACCAAAGGAAGAAGAGGAAAGACCCAGTATCTCAACCTGCACCACACACAAAAAATTTGTCTTAAATTTTCTCTTGCCGTCCAGTGGCAAGGACAATCCCGGAAAAAAATTCCCAAGACCCAAGAGATCTGGGCTGTAGGTTGCCCAGACCAGGTGATCTATCCAAAAGAGAAGATTCAAAACCAACAGGTGAAATGCCAACTTCCCACCTTCCTCTGCACTCACAATCCTGTTCAGTCAGTGCTTTTGCCACTGGTATCTCTGTAGCCAGAAATTAATCTTTGTTGGTTTAGCAAAGAACCAGCGACCTTAGATACAAGATTATTTTTTTACACCTGATTCTTTACACTATTAATGCTTATGCTTGGCTTTTGCTGCATTTCTTAATTAAGTTTTACTCATGATCAGCTTCATTTTCAGATTTGCAGCACAGCATTAGAAGGACTTCAGAGACCATAGGAAATGTTTATTTGTTTAACAACCACTGGTTTTCCAGAGACTTTATAAGTCATTATACAAACACTTCAGTGCTGGTTTTATAAAGCTTTAGTATTACAAAACAAGTTTTGGCTCAAATCTAAGTTGACAGTGCCCCTTCAGAAACAGACACACAACTTGAAACTGCTCAGTTTCCTTTCTCAGCCTTTAAAAATCACCTTTATGTTGTTTTTAGAATATTAAGATATGTTTTAATAGCAATACATATGCAATCACAGTTAAAACTACCTATTTTAGTCATGTTTTAAGGATTATTTATAACCATTCTTTCTGAAAGCCATCTGGTGAAGGTTTCCAGTAAAACCTACTACTGTGTTAAAAAAAATAATAATAAAATAACCAAACACACATCACCACTGGTCTCTAGTTAGTTAAGAGTGTGTTTTAGAACAGGATTTAAGTAAGTCAGAAACCAGTTCAGAACCACATTCTGAGAAATTAAATTCAAATTCATAGTGGAGTTTTTATTAATTGATCCACTATTCCTAATTGCGTGAACTGTAAGCCCATTTACCTTTAAAGTGAAAATAGATTGCTGGATGCAAAGTTACAGACTTTGGGAATTTTCAAAGAACCTTTCTGCTCATCTCTGGTTTTGTCTAACAAAAATGAAACACCAGCTCCTTTCAGGAAAACCAATGACAGGTTGCCAGAACCCCTGGCTTGGAAAAAGGCAACTCTTCAAGAGGCCCTAAAACTTCTAAATTACAGTTCTATCCTCTCTCCTCATGTCACTGCCTTCTGCACTGGCTCAGAGAGGAACTCTTGTTTTTTCAGGAAAAGTAGAAAAGCATCTGTATCTTCAGTATAAACTGAGAATACAAAGCAGGAATTAACACTTTATTAGTGTGAGATGCATTGAAACAAGACAGAAATTCTGATTTATCTGATTTAAACATACCAAACAGCTTTAAACCACACTGAGTAGCTGAACACGTGTGTGTATGGATACATACTTCTTTTTTCTGCATTCCTTCAAGGAAATGTGTTACTACACACAGAGACTGTCCTCACAGGTGTTAGAGGACATGATTCTCTATGTGTGCACACATACTTGCACTGAAAATACTGCTTAAATAACACATTATTGAGCTTCTCTATGGTCACACTTCATTGCATTTTAGATGTAGAATCAGTAGTATTAACAGAGTTTAGTATTACAGAGTACTAACAGAGTTTCCAGGAGTAGCTTGAGTTTTTCTCCATTTGTCTGTACACCCCTCAAATGAACTCAAGCTTCGTTCACTTCAAAAGGAGCAACTCATACATGAGAAGCTGGAGTAAGAGAACACGACACACTCAAGGCAAGAATCTTTTCCTCTTAGTAGTTTTTGAATACGAAGAGACCACTTATCATTTAGGTGCCCTGACCCATAAAGGGCTGACCAATGCTCAAATAACTCCTGAGGTTACTGCCCTCTGCTCTCCATCTCCATTGCAGAGGTGGCTGAGCTCATAAAGTAGTTCCTAATGACCATTTTGCTTCAACACACCAGACTATCAACCAGTATTCAGAACTGCTTAACAAGTCAACAGTGGGAGAGTCCAACTGAGCTTACAAATCCCAGATGCATTGTTCATCCAGCCCTTAGCTTAACAAAACCAGAGTTGTTTCCAACACTGAAATGAATAACACAAAACATGTAAGACAGAGAAACAGAGGCAGTTGGTTAACGGTGGGGAATTAACACGTGATAGAGATGAATGTCAATGTACTGCTACTGAGCATCCAAAGCCTCTGGTTTTGTTACTCACCAGATCATCCAGGAGTGCCTGTTTATTCTTCCTTTTTATCATCTGCTGTAGCTGTTCTTCCTTCTGTATGAACAGTCTCCTTTGTTCGCTTTCCTGTCGCTCTACCTCCAGAGCCTCCTCCAGCTCTTCCTGCTCCCGTGTCTGAAAGGGAAATCAGAAATGGGCTCACAGCAAGTCCAGAGTTCCATTGCCTGCCAAAGGACCCAGGGCAGGCCACACAAGAGGAAGGCAGCCAAATTGTACCTTTTAAAGTAAAATTTTAGGTAGAATTTTAAGATGATTACGGCTGATTATTCTACCTCCTCTTATTGTCCAGTGTGGAGTTAGATTTTTAACTTACTGCTCTCTGCAGTTTGGATCCAACTCTTTAAAAGTTAGAGAATGACAACGGCATTTCCTTATATCTTCACCCTAAAAAGAACCCTTCTGTATTCCCACACATCTTACAACCCAAGTGATATAAGTAGGGTGACCAAAAATATAATCCCACAATACTGTTCCTGATCGTCCCCTCCATCAGCTGCATCTTCTGTGCAAAGCACACTCTGTGCTTATCAGTGGTGCAGAAGAAAAATAAGAAATTACACATAGGTGAATATTAATAGAGAAGCCTGTAAGTTAAAACATTTAAGCATGAACTGTAAAAAATGTCACAGTCTCAGAAAACTAGGAATTTTTCCTATAACCTGGATTGCAGCCATGTGACATGAGACAAAACAAAAGATTATTGGTAAAAAATTACTAGTTTTTGTTACAGATCTGTTTCTTGACAAGTCTTTTTTTAACCTGTAAACTATTAAGTTATTTGTATTTGAAAATCACAGTGAAATTAAAAACCAGAAGAGGGCTTAGTGACAGGGGAAAACAAAAAGGATTTTATAAAGAAGAGGGAATCAAAAGAACATCAGTTTTGTTGCAAGAAGGTAAAAACATATAGGAAACATTTTCCAAAACTTCCCATCCAAAAAGACTAAAGCAAAGGGAGATGCAGTAAAAACACCAAGATAATTAAAATTTTATAAAACTTAAATGGACGATTTATTGATGGAACCAGTTTCAGGAAAAGATCATTGCAGCCAAGAGCTCAGTAAAGTTTGTTCCAATCATAAAGTTCTCTCATAAAGCACAGCAATCTGATATTGGCCACAATATGCTGAAAAACATCCCTTTACCAGGCAGATCAAGCCAAGGGTCCCAGCAAGGCCCAGTATCTCCTGGATGCAAGAGCTGACAGATCTCATCACCTGCCACCAAGCCAACAGGAGCTGCTTCCATTCCATTATGAGCAGTGACACTGGTAAAATGCTGGTCACCAACCAGTGACCATCTGGAACTGGGTTCTCTTTGCATTGAATGGAAGGAAAAAACCAAAGCAAGAAAATCCCCAAGTTGCAAACTGAGGTGGTTTCTGAGAATTAAGGGATTTAGTTTGTTCGGTCAAAAGAACTGAAGAGCTCAGGGATGTCTTTAAGACATTCCAAGGCTCTTCCACGTTTATGTTTAAAGACTGCCTGGGATTTGCACTGAAACAGAAGAAAACTTGTAGGGAAGTGGTGACAGACCCAGACTGAAGAATCAGCCCAGAAAAATTATGGTCAGAAATAAGTAAACTGATATACAAATCTAAACCAGACCACACTACAGGAAAATGGAAGAATTATCACATGTCAGATCAAATTCTTTCTGAAAGGAAGACCAAGCAGAACAGTAAAACAGAAGAGAGACAAGTTCAATAGGCAGCAAGGGTTGTGTCCAGCCTAAAGATAATCTAAACACAGTCCTGATATCTGAAGAAAAAGGTGACAGTGAAGCCTGGAGTAAACTCAAGAAGACAAGTGGAAGAAGTAAATAAAAAGTGTAATAATGTTCCATCACATTCAGGAAAGGACAATCAAGAAAACATGCACATTCACATCACAGAACTTAGACAAAACTATTTAAAGACTGCACAAAGCAGCAAGTGAAATTAAATATCTAGTCACAAAGTAGGAAGTAACAGGTTACCCTGTGACTGGAGAACTGCAGGTATTTAAGGAAGAAGGCATGTTTGGGAAAGCTGTAGTTCATTCCAAGTGCAAGGTTTTTTAAAAATAACTAGTGCACGTAAATATCTCTATATAAAAATCAATTTATAATGACAAGAACTTAGATAGTTCTTCCCATTTTTCTTTTCCTAACCTGTCTACTTAAAGTTTTTCCTTGCATGGTCCTGCATCAAACTTACATATCTAATAGATGGGTTAGTACAAAAGTAGCAAAGTCATTAGGAACTGGCTACAAAGATGACAAATATGGCCTGTACTGACAGGAGAACAAACAGTTATTCAAATCCTGAGGTGACTTATTCAGTAACTTAATATTTTGGTTTGCAAGAATGACAAGCTCAAGAAGACAAAAGTAGCAGAAGTGAAATCAAAATAACTTAAAAGGCCACAGATTTGGGGACATTAATTTGCGAGTTAGAAACCGAAGAGGATGCACTGCTTGACAACTACTGACTGTGAACCTTCCTCATGACAGTGCTACAAGAGCACAGTTTTAGGATCATGTCAATGTATTTCCAACAGAGGTGGAAAACAGGTGTTTCTTTACAAGAGGCATTAAGATCTCAGCTGCAATACTGCATTCAACTCTGGTCCCTTCTGCTTACCAAACACAAATTCAAACTGGAACAGGCAAAGGGTAATAAAAATACCATGAGAGACAGAAAATACCTATATTCCTCAGAAGCAAGCTATTACAATGGATAGAAAAATTTACATCAGTCCAATAATGAAGGGACAATGACTGGCCAGGAGAGGTTTAGGAAAAAAATATTTGGACACCTTTTACCAGGTATGGAGCTAAGACATTCCAAAACCTGCCAAGAGCTAGAGAGGGAAAGCAACCCTTCAGCTTTTGGGAGAGGGTTAAATTTATGGGCAACATCATGCAGTTTTTGTAATAGCTGCTGTGTCAAGTCTATTATTATATCTCGATTGTCGAAAAAGAAATGCTGAATGTTTCAAACGATGAAAAAGAAATAAAAGAGAAATGTCTCCAGATCTCCAGTGAGTCTGGATTCACACAGGCTTGCCCAGCTGCCACCAGCCAGCCTCCAGCACAGCAGGACTGCATGGTACAGAACACAGGAGGCCCTGGGGGGCTTGGTGGGCACAGGGTGTTATGGTGCTGCTTGACAGGGTCACACAGCTCCTGCAGGGGCTGTCTGAGAGTCACCTCCACGAGGGGAAGGTGGGCTGCAGGCAAAGCACACTGCTAACAGAGTGACCCTCGAGGCTGCAGCTACATTGTAAAATAAGATGTGAAGCCAAAGCTTTGGCAGGTCTCTTCAAGCTCTGAAGCATAGGATATTGCACAGTGTCAGAGACAGGATAACAGATCAGAGATGGACCCCTAGGGAAATTTCCTTGCCTTTAAAAGGAAGAGGTTCAAACAAACATTTTTCAGATTCCAATCTCCTCCTGTGAAATCCTAGAGCTAAAGAAATCACTCAGAGTTTTGCCACAGACTTCAGGGGAGTGAGGATTTCACCCCTACTGATTTGAAAGCAAATCCTTAGTGCAACTGTAATACAAACACAGAACCTTGTTATGTCACACTCTGGGCAGACATTTTTGCTTCAAGAACCGATAACAGTGTGTATTTTTATACTGAAAAAATATTTAGCAGATTAAACTTGTCTTACAGGAATAAATGCCTGCAAGTTTATTTTAAAGAGCCAAAAGATATCTGAGCCATATTTTAATGAATGAATCTTCAACGAACCATGTGTTTTGCATACAGATCATATATACAATATTCCTGACGTTACTGTTATCAGCTCTTGAACAAGAGTTCTAATGTTTGTTTCAACATCTTTCATTCTGAATTTTGCATAAACCAGACCTGTGCTTTCCCTCAGTTTTATAACCCTCTCCTGGGAGCTTCCTAATGTCTGCGTCTGGATTCCTTTTTTCCGTCGGATGAGAAAGGAACGATTGTCCCGGTACAGGAATGAACTTCATCTCTCCTGGATATTGTCCAACGACACTGCCAGCACACATGCAGTGGTGATGTATTAGACACAGGCTTTACTGCCTTTCCCTCCTTTCAAGCTCTTCCCAAAGTGAAGCATAACTACATTTCAGCTATCAAACTAAATATTGAAATAGAAGAGAAATCTGCATAGTGCTTTTAGTTTTGTTTTTAAGACACCACAGAAAGTACTTCACAAATCCTTTAATTCTTCAACTAATGAATAAAAATTGCAGAGGAGAAAAGTTAACTAACCAGTTTTAACTTATTCTTCTGAATGACTTCTTTGTTATCCTTTTGGTACAGCTCCATTTTCTTTTTGGTGTTCTCCAAGTCCACATTGTTGGTCAAGTTAAACACTACATAAAGACAGAAAGCAAAAGTATTTAGGTCAGCATGCATGACTATGACAAAGAAATACTACTCTTATGTTCTCTATCCCTTCTAGCACCAGATATAAACATTGCAGTAGCAGAATTTACTTAAACGTGCTCGGTAAAGACAGACACAATCTGCTAAGTCACTGCAAACTTCAAGAGAAGCCAGCAGAGTTCCTTCAGGTTTACACATTTGTAGGAGAATAAAATCTGAGTCTTGCATCCTCTTTTGTGATACTGATCATGCTATTCAATAACATTGACCTTTTCAAGTAGCAGTTACAGCTAAGAACACAGTGATTCCTGTAAAATTAAATTACACCAAACACATACATATTAAGACAAAGTTAGAAATTAAGTCGTTCTATTTCATAAAATTATCTAATGCACAAAGATAGTCAGAGATTGTTTGAATTTTCAGGTATACACAAAAAATTCACATTGCTTGATAACTTAAAAGGCACCAATGTACAATTATCTTTCTTAGGAGGAATCTACAGATGCTTCCAGATTAATAGGTTAACTGACATTCTTTTGATGTCTCCCAATGGTGACAGAGTATATCTCATGTCATCATGAGCAAGGGGGGTTGGCCAGCAAGTTCCACAGTTTAGCACAACATTCCCAATTATCTACACATGGCACAGAAGATATCTCAAGAAATTGAACAGTGTCTATAATCTACAGCTTGAAAGATGCAGATGGTTTGGATGATTAGTAATTTGATACAATTCCTGAGCCTTTCACCTCTAGGTCACTGGTTCAGTTGAGGGTCAAGTGAATTCCAACTGAGAGCCGCTATCACTGGGAAGTTGCTTGGTGATCACCATCCAGAGTGGATGCTGGGCTCATGCCCATGGCCTTAGAGCTACTGAACACTCACAACACACAGCACTCAAAGCCTCCAAGAGCTTTGTCAAGAGCGGTAAAGAAATTTGCAGTGCTGTTGATAAATCCTTCACAAGCAAACAACCGCGTAGTGACTGCGCTCAGTCAGACCCTGAGCAAGGGAAGGAGGTTCTTGTGAACACACCAGCACAGGACTTGGAAGATTTTAGTCCAGTTCTCTCTTCCTAGGCTTTCAGGCAACCAGGGCCAAATGATCCCTGGGCACTTGCACCACTGCCAAGTCATTTGTACCAGTAAGGCTGCTAGAGAGGAACAGAAGGAAGCAGCATGAAGTCTGTTGTTACTCATCAGGATAGCTCACATCTCAGTTTGGGAAAGATTATATCCCTTCTTTCATCCTCTCCACAGCTAACATGGTAGAAATGTGCATTAGGAGGGTTCTAGGCAAACCAAACCATGAACAGCCTCGACTGGCAAACCAGCTGAGAGCAGCAAAGGAAACATCAAGAATTCAAAGCCAGGGAATAAATGGGGACAGGGGGGGAAAAGCAAGGAAATGCTCCAGTTGTAGGATACAGCTCAGTTCTACAAACCCAGCTGTACAGCCAAAAGGGGTACTCCTGCTCCTAGGTGCCTCCTCCCAGGCACAGGCTTCACTCTTTCCCCTGCTCTGACTCCAGAACACCCCTGGATGCTTTGCAGTGTCAACAGAAACAAAGGGGTCAGGCAAGAGCCAAAGATGGTACCACAGAAGTAATAAAAGTGTACAGATGGGAATAGGAATATTCTCTTTCCAGAAGTATTGGAGCACCACATCATTTTACAGTTATCAAAAGTATTTCCATTTGCCCTAACAGCAACAAAAAGGACTCAGTAAGATACAGCTGAAGGAATTCCTAACCTTAAGCAAAAAAATCCCTAAAACACTGTATCTATTTCCCCCCTCTTTTCCAAATAATAAACAGTATCAAGAGGACTGACATTTCAATTCAGCCTGGCTCATAAATCAGCTAAACTCCCCCAACCTCACCCCAGCATCTTCACTTCAGAAGGAAGATCTGAGATGGAGGCTGAGTTTGTGGTTCAAGAATTTCAGAATCAACACCTGAGTTCAATTTTTGAACTTTGCTACTGTTCCAGATCACTAAGCCTCTATACTAGAGGTCTCCCACTGGCAAGAACCAGGAAAAGGAGAATAAAGCTTCCTTTCTCCTATATCTCACCTGCTGTATCTCCATACTATAGCTAAATGCAGCACTTATCTCTGTGGTCTTGATCTCATCTCAAGTGGAACCTCTGGGCACTGCCATAACCCAAACAAGCCATTCAAAGTCCAGCTCCTTGGTTTTTGGAAGCAAGTTACCCATTCCAAATGTTTGAGAGGCTTTTTTTATCTCCAAAAGGCATAACATTTTCCTATTTCATATCATGACAAACATACACTTTCAGGTTGTAGCAACCTCTCCTTAGTAAAACACATTACTTCAGTCTAAATTTTTTGTATTTTAATGGAGATTTGGCCTCCAAATTTCCAGCCTACAGTTCCCAACTGACAAGCACTTTTAATATTTGAGTATTAGGGCAGAGAAGAATTGTCATGTGAAAATGCTGGCACACAATCAGCCCAGGGCTCAGCAATGACAGCAGCTGCATGGGAATGTCAGCACTTCCTACAACTTAAATCCACACACCAGCTCTCTAAACTCTTCAATGACGACACAAGAAAGAAATAGCATATGAGACATGCTGTGCTAGCAGGATGCCCAGATGCCACCTTCAGGTGCAAGAGGAGGAGCAAGATGAGATGTCAAATTGCCTTTAGGCTCCTGAACATCTTGAGTATTTCTCTAAAAATAAGTCCAGCAATAAGTTGATGATCCCTGTTTTGCAACTATTGCTGCTTGAAACATTCAGGCTTTGGTTTTTTACCCCTTTCTCAGTTATCTTTAATAGGTTCAACCAGTCACAATTCGGTCTGTAAAACCAAAAGCTTAAGACTTAAAACTCATACAAGGAGAGCAGGTAAGTTTTAAACATGTGCAAATGCCTACTTACAAAAGTGAGTGCATTTTCCAGTATTTATTGAGTATTTTGGTACCTGATAGGAAGTAACATTTCCATGTAAGGAATCTATTTCTTCATCAATGTTTGAGAAATCTTCAGCAGCCAACTGTACAGTCACCTTAAAAGCCCATTGCTCTGCTCACAGCAAGGTGAAAGACTTTATTTCCCCTTCTGTTTTTCTGCTGTGGTTGGAACCAAACCACAGATACAACTCTCCCAACAGTCAGATCTGCTCATACCCTCTCTGCTCAGTCCATCTGATTCTGCTCTGTCACTCAAGGATATTGTAGGACATCAGCAATCAGAAAGATTCAAACTTCCAGCATCCTCAAAAGGCCAGAGAAGATTTGTCCCAGTGAACATTGATGTACAGCGACTGATGAGGAACATTATCTTGGTCCTAAGCATCTGCTCCTCAACACTAGCTTGCCCACATTTCAAGAGTGAAAATACTGAAGAGGTACATTTTGTTGAAACAGTTGTAAAAAAGAGTGTAAAAAACCAATTTTTGAAACAGTGTAAAAAAGTGTAAAAAAAAAGAGTAGAACAGTGAAAAGTGTAGCAGTGTAACCTGGATGTCTCTGCATCAACATCAGTGTCAACAGCTGCCCTTTAATACAGGACAAAAGCATCTTCCCTCCTACAACAAGTACTCAGCAGCAAAGCAAACTCTGCCCTTTGACACTGCGTGGTTACCAGAGGCCAACCAGCCACCAAAACATCTTTCAACATATTTTCTAATAAATTTTTCATGAGCTTCAAACGTCTTTTCATCAATATTCACAGAATACAAGTTCTTGCCATTGTACCCTTGCAATTACAGCTGACAAGTCTATTTTGCAAGGGGCACTAGGCTACAAGAAAATAATTAAGAGATTATTTCTTTCTTTCTCTTGTCACCTCTTCCCTCAACGAGTTCCTTGACATCTAAAAACCAACAAATATCAAACCAAAGAACACAGTTGGTAATACTTGACATCTTACCTTTTAAATAGCTAGGACTAAGCAGCACTTTTTTATTTGGTCTGCTTTGAGTTTTGCCAGAAACTTATTTTAAATATAATTCTTCCCTTTTTCAAAAGCCCAACAACAACAACAACAACAACACAAAAAAAAAATATAAAACTAGAAGAACCAGAAGGGGTTAAAAATCCCTAACTCGTAAGCCACACCTACCCTGAAAAAATATTGGTGTAGATCTGAATATGAGTGGCAAAGCAGATGGCTGGTTTGAAAAGGTTTCAAAGAGAAGACAGACTTATTTTTGTCCATGTTGAAATATAGCATAAGCCGATATAAGAGGCCTGAAACCCTTCAGGGAAAAGAAACAGAAGGTGTTTTGTATGCAACAATTATTTATCTACTTATCCATCTCACATTGGTTGGTTTATAAAATGACTTGCCTTGAGACATCTGTTGAAGTGTAACAGGAAGACTATTGTGTTTTTCTGAAACATTTCATTCTATTTAGGTAAAACTCCCAACTTCTGAAATTCAGCCTCTACAGAGAGACTTTCACTGCTTTTCAAAATAACAACATTCATTATGGAATTCTACAATAAATGGAAAAATATTTTCCTAGCTATAAAAAAAGAAAATGAGAAACATTTTAATTATATGGCACAATCATTTGTCCAGAGACGTAGCAGTATGAATGAATATGACTCCACTGCAGGACTCTAAGTCCATCAAAATCTCCATTTTAATCTCAGACTAAACATTATTAGCATTAGTTTGATATAAACAATATTCCTCCCATCCCACTCCAAAAAACTCCTTAATAATCAGCTTCATAAAACCCCAGCTAGAGGCTGGGAATGGTAGAAGAGCAACTGCTTTGGGCAGAGGAAGACACAACCACACAGCCACACCCTCAGTCTGCCCAAGGAGTCCCAGGCTACTTTGGCACCTTCTCTTGGTGCTTTTGATGCCTGGTCCCTGTACTTTCAAGAGGGGTAGGAGAGGGGTGAGGTGGAAAACAGATGAAATAGATCATAACAGGTCCCTTCCAAACCACCAGTTCTGTGATTATAACAAAATAATTATCAAAAACAAAAGAAAACCCACAGATAAGCCAGAAAAGTCTAGTTAGGTATTAATAATTATTTCTGTTCATCCTCAGTTGTCTTTTACTAGGTCAATAATTTTCCAGAAAATTACCTTAGCATAGTCATAAATGATTGAATTCACTCAGCCCCATCAGTCTAAGAGAGACCATTTTGTCTGGAGCAGTGTGAAATCTTTGCTCAGACGAAATGACTGAAATGGTTCTTTGATAAAGCCACCCAGTTTCCAGTTGGGAAATTGCCTCTGTCAGGACCAGCAACACCATCCTCGAGAACACACACACACACAGAAGGAAAAAAACAAACCACAAAACAATAAACAACACAACCCACAAGTGATCACAGATACCAAAACCCTTCCTATCCGAGGATCACTCGGGAGATAAATGTTCTGAGTAAGACAAGTCTCGAGGCAGCCGGTATTGCACAAAGTCTTGGGGGAGTAAGGAGATACAGGAATCCGAAGGGCACAAATGCAGCAGCCTCCTTCCAAGCTGAACTTACTGAATGTTTTTAAAAAGCAATAATTACTGCTAACAATTGTGTTGTGGGAATGCCTGCGGGCCTCACTCAGGTACCAGGAGAAGGGTGCCAGGCACATGCTGGGAGGCAGGTCCTGCTGGGAGAGCTTACACACAGGGTTTAAAAAAAACTGGGCACAGATATACTCTGGGGAAGAAGAAAACCTTTGGGGAAAGAAGAAAACCTTATAGAAATAACAAGCAAAGTTTGCATTACGTCCAGAAACTGCAACTTGTAGCATTACTCTAAGGTTTAACTTTGTCACTCTCATCATATGGGCACAGACCTGACTCATTCAGATGGATGTTGTCCACACCTTTCCCAAAGGCAGGTTTTAACCCTTTCACTTTATTTTTATTCCTAGTGTTAATGACAACAAACTGTGTTTACAGTGTTCTCAAATTGTCCAACTGATTTTTCTTCTGGCGAAAACTTGCTTTAAAATGTGGTTTTTATTTAAAGCCTTGTAACAACACATTTTAGCCCAAAGCATTATTTAGTGGCTACATTCTAAACCACTTCAAAAATGTGTTTTTTATAACAGAAATCTTAAAAGGTGACTACCCCAATGTTTGTTTGACCTTCCCACACACACGCTTCTGCTGTACCACCCAACTTTTCTATTTAAATAGGAAAAGTCTGTAAGTATAACACGGCTGATAAAAAAGGGGGAAAATGTGTTTCCAGTGAGGTCGTGTATCACATCAATGGAATAAGACAGTGCAATTGCTGCAAATATTTGGAAAAACTATCTGAATTGTGCCAGGGTCATATGAAGGTTACAAGTGATGCTTACACCTTGCCTCTGCTAAGCAATTATTTTATTTGAACTCCCACAACAACTCAAGAAACAAAACTTCCCAGCAAAGAGAAAACAAGGTAAAGCCACACTTTGACCCTCCCGCAGAAAAACTGAAAGTTTGGGGCAGGGGGAGAGAGGGGAAATCCAGTTCTCTGCCTCCCTACATTCCCAACCTGGCAGCTTGAACAACCACCACCAGCTACTCTCAACCTGCTGTACGTTGGCTCCACGAGGCAAAACTGCCCTGCACAACCAAATCCTTTCCTTCCCTTCTTGCAGCCCAGTCTTTCATGTGCACAAACCAGCAGGGAATTCACTCACACACAAAAATGAAATAACTACTCTCTGCAGTATAATGTGAAGTGACCATACAGAGTCAAAGATACCCCCTTAACACATTATTCAGTCATGCCATTTTCCACATGCATTGGAAGAATCCACCAGACAACTTCTAGGTGCAGAAATCTGCCCAGGAGCACAGCAGGGAAGGGCTTGGGGAGAGCAATATGTGTGCAGTGGGCTTTGTCACCAGGGAGAGAGAACAGGGCTTGAACTCTTGCCTAAAGTAGTGTTGTTGAGTCAAACCTGTCCTCTGGGATCTGTTTGGAGTTAGTAGATCACAAATGAACCCTTTGAAAGTGAAAACTAAGAGCCTTCTGACTGCACCCCTTTTTTCCTCTCATCACCCTGGCTGCTACATGAAGGAACTAAGAGGTAATCAGACTTCCTATTCCTTCAGTATTTTAGGTGTCCCTCTCAGGCAACTAACTCCAATTCCTAATGACTCTATCAAGCTTCTTCATTATGCATTTGCAGGGCCAACACAGTTATTGGCAAACTCACTCTTTTTCACAAGGTTACCAAGACCAGCTGGATTCCTGCTGCTTCTAAACCAAGTTCCCAGTGCAGACTTTGGAACCATTTGAAATGTAACCACCTAATCCCAAGAGCTGAAGAGTCATAACGTCCTGCACAAATTCATGAGATTCAGGCAATTTCAGGCAAGACTTCAAATCCCTTGCTGCAGATGCTGAAAACTGCAACAGCAGTAAGTGGGGCAACTGCATTTAATGCTACATAAATAAGAAGCTCTTTTCCCTTCCATAAGCACACAGATTCTTCCAGGATCCTCTGGCCAAGATGCAACCATTCTTTCTGCTCATTCCCTCCTTCCCCCATACCATTCAAAAAAATATACAAACAGAACTACACCCACATCATCTCCTCCAGATATTTGGACCCGTGTGAGTGTGGCTGGTGTTTCCCAGCCACACGATTTGGCTCTCCAGCCTCGGCCTTCTGATGCCAACAAAAACACGATACATTACTCACGGCAGTAAGTGTATTGGATACATTTCTACAAAACACCACAGTGCAAAGAGGAGCAAGGGCTCCTTTGAGAAACTGAAGGGGAGTGGCATCTCCATGTTTTCCTTCAAATCACATTCGCTGCCTTTCCTGTATGCTCTAAGTCACCTCTTCTTCCTCCAGGTCAAAAAAAAAAGAAAAGCCTCAGAAGCTCATAAAAATCAAGAAACAAACCATTTAGGAGTCACTCCTTTGAACACATCCTTGTTTTTCTAAGCAAAATCCATCAGTCCACCATAAATCACAAGTCACCCTAACTAAGAAGAAAATAAACTCTGTTGATAACATTGTCCCTTCCCCAAAGGGCAAAGTTCTGCTTCAGCTAATCCAAAGAGAAAGAAGCCAACGTCTGTTCCTAAACCTCCTCCTTCTGCACAGCAACATAAAATGCTACCACAGTGGTATGTAAGGTCATCAGCTTCAAAGCAGCTTCAACTACTGTACTTGCAGAAGCAGAAATGATGAAAGACACCATATGGCTTCTGTCATGGTAGATAAAGCTAATGGAAGCATATAATGAAAATTTCAATTTCTCCTCTCTTTGTTTAATCTTTGCCAGTGTAGCACTGACAGTACCCTGCAAGCCTTTCTTTTCCAGCTGTAAAGCACTGCTTCCTCTTTGGATTGTGTTCTTCCTCTGGCAGATAAAAAGTTTTACTCAACGATGCCCTACAGTTCAGCAAATATGATTAAAAGTGTGCAGAAAAAAGTAATTAGATAAAAATGTGATACTATGATAAATCCTATTACAGAAACTCAACTTAGACATTCTCATAGGCAGCTGAGTCAGAATAAAAAAGCCTATGGTCTCATGAGCACAGCACATCAAAAATGCAAGCATTAAGACTTACCAATTTCTTCTATTTCTTCCAGGAAATCATTATATTCATCTAAACTGGGAAAGTCTTCCTCTCTTTTATTGTATCTTTGAGAGAAGAGAAACAAGTATTTATACAACACACAAAGATGCAATTTCCATTCGACAAGGCTCTTGCTGCAAGCTGATTAAGTATTGATCTAGTTTTATCAACTATGTACTTTGTGGCTCCCAAACTGACCAACATACAGAGTCTTTCATGGGAGACAGAAGTGCTTGTTCCAAAGGAAAGGAGCCAGCCTGGAATAAATCAGTGCTATCTTTGCCTACTGTTTGCCAACTCCTTTTCCAGGGTTACAGGTAAACACGAGCACAGAGGCCAAGACAGAGTCATTCCCAGCCAACCTCTTAACAAAGGCAGAGACAACAGTAACACCCACAGGAAAAAAAAAGAGGGAAAAAAAAGCTTTTCTAGAAGTATCGGAACAGGGAGTTTGGCTTTGTGCCAACAACAGAAAGCACATGTCAGCAGCAAACTGAAAATGCTATGCAATTATCTCATTTCATATCAATAGACCATTCCAGGACTCATATTCACCTCTTCATAGCTGGAAAAAGTAAAAAGATGAAGAGACAGCTGGCTAGAACATTGACAGCCTCTGAAAGTCAAGATGTGCAGGTTTTCTTCCCAAGAAAATACAAAGCTGAGGTTCTGCCTGCTCCATGGACCACAACACCCAGGAGTATAAAAATCTAATCCCAAGCACTCAGGCAAAATTCCAATTTGGAGGCATTTTTCCTGCCTCCCAAAAAATGATCCAGTAAAACAAAGTGGGCCAAGCATTTTCCAATGTTTTCTCTTCTAACTAAACTTCATTCCATGTTTAGTCAACTCAGTTGACTTCGTTCCAGTTTGACTTCTGTTAACTTTAGCAGACTTTAAAATCCAACAGCAAAATTATTATTGCTTTCCACATCAGCATCTTGGTATTCAGCAACACAGTTTCTCCACATCATCATCATGATTTATTTAGTATTGTACTAAATCTCAAATAAAAGGCTGCCAAGCTTACAATTTACCTGCACTTTCGTTTTTGCACACACAACTCTCTCTGGGTTTGTTACATTTCACCAGACCCTCTTCTATCAAACACCAACCGGCTCCCTTATTTTCGTTATAAAATGCTGTTTCTTGGCCACAAGGAGGGAGATGCAATTTCAGACCTCATCTATCTCAATTCCAAGAGCTTTCAAATCTGCATGACAGGCTAGTAACACCAGGCTTGTAGGGAACCATTTCCATTAACAATTGCTGTGTGAAGTTTAAAAACAATGTGAACTCTATTTTGTCCATTTTGATTTTTAAGGGAACCAGCCTTCAACTCTGAGAACAGGTCCCCAGGGAACAAAACAATCAAGGTCCTGTTTCTTGCCCTACTCCCATGTTGACCCCCTCAAAGGGAAAGCAGCTGTACTCCTCAACATCTAATCATCTCCATTTAGGAGGCAAGTCTTTGCCAAAGGAGGCCACATAGAAACACTCGTTTTCTAATGCTAAGCAGGAATCCCTCAAGGCTTAACTGAGAATTAAGTCCTCAGTCGTTGCATAAAATCAGATTCTTTGAAATCCCTCCACGATAAATGGAGTCAAGTTTTATTGTTTGTCACTTTAAAAAAAAAAATCTCCTCTGTACTACTGGAAAAGTCGATTTCTTAAAATTGTGATCCATGAAACACTTCCACCTTCTGTTCTTTAAACTGGTGACACTCACATTTTCAGCACTTTCTTCCGAATTTCCACTTCCTTGTCGACAGCAGGATCCTCGAAGAGCTGCACCCTGAAGTTACTCTTCCTCAGGGGGGTGTCGCACTCGTGGCAGTTCCCAGCCCCTCTCACAAACAGCAGCTCCACGCAGCTCTCACACCTGCAGGGGAAAGGAAGGGGTGTGAGGGCAGACAGGTGTTCAACAGGGACTGACACACAGGACTGCCCCCCTTGTTTGCTGTTTGCACCCTACATCTCCCCCAGATTTCACCCCCAAGTGTGGCAGGAGGCCAGGGCTCTGCTCCGCCGCTGAACGGAAACAATCTCGGCAGCACAAACACATTTATTCTCCCTGCCCAAACAACTCGGTCCCTTTGCTGGGACCCAAAGTTAATCCAAACAACGACGGGGTCTGTGTTGAGGGGAAGTTTGTTTATTGACACCATCAAACCCATTTTGAACGGGCCATGCTGCAACATCCTCACTGGCTCTAAGCACCACCTTGCTGCACAAAAAGCCCTGATTATTTCCTGGTGTCACAGTGCAAGGGACAATTCAGTACAAGCACAGACACAAACCCTGCCCACAGCCTTCCAAGCATCTACCAGTCCTACCATAGAAGAACTGCTATAACAAACCTCAGCTAAACTCCAGCCAGGCAAAGCCAAAAGGACCAAAAAACCATTTCAGGCAGCAACCCAGCATTATGCAGCTTTCCTGTGCCTTCTGGTAATACTTTTAAAATTGCACATAAAATAAACTTTACGCAGAGGCTGTACAGAAGTAAAGCAAAAATACCTTTCTGCTTTTATTTCTTTTGTCTTAACGAAGATTTCCTATTTTAATGTGATGCCTGCTGACCAGTCAGTTGGCATTTAATAAAGGAAGAACAAACAACAAAAAGGCCAATTTTAAAAAAATTACTTGGGTAGTAATAGTGTGCAAATATCTAGCAGAGGACAACACCTGCTGCAGTCATTTCCTACTGCTGGGGAGGCAAAGGAGTGCCTATTTATAGCTTTGCTATACTGAAGCCAAAACAGTTGTACATTAAGGGCTAAGTTGTGTTGCACCTTCATAAACCCAGCACAAAAGCTAAACAAGTCAAGAGAAACAACACTGACACAGTTGCGAAGGATCTTAAACAAAACTTTCACTCTGCTGACCTACCCCCAGCTAAACTGGTTCCAGTCCTTGCAAAGGCAGAGCTGAGGAGAGCCAACCAGTTTTACCCAGCTTCTGTTTTCAAGATTAGAAAGTGCAAAACAAACACAATTGTATCTCAGAATCAAAAAAAAAAAGAGGATTTTTTTGTTGTTGTTGTTAACACAAGGAGAACTTTCATTTTCAGCTTTGAAATGCATCTTGCACAGCAGCTGCCAATGTTAAAGAGCAGACCTTGAATTTAGTTGGGCATTTTCCTGCTCCAGAATCCCTTTAGTTAGAAAATGAAGTGTATTTATAAACATGAGTTATCTGGGAAAGGAAAGATCAAACTTTTTTAGCACACTAGGCCTGAAATTCACACGTTTCTGGGACACAGGCTCAAGAAAATAATGAAAAATTAGTATAATGAATATAAAGAAAACAATTTAGGTTCCCACTACAGAAGAAGCACTACTAAAGCAGGCAAGGCAGGGAAAGGGTTTTCTCCTTCCTCCCCCAACCTGTCCATGCATGCAAGGGCCCAACATAAGGACAGTTTCACTGTCCCCTTCATTTTGGCAGCTCATGCTATTTATGTGTCTCTCTCAGTGCAGCAGCCACTGCACAGAAAACCCCTGTCTCTTCTTTCCTAAGTTATAGGAAAAGGAGTGTAAAGCTACAGACCTCAGCAGGTGCATCCAAGTGCAGGTGTCTGTATTGGTTTTTTGTCAAGGTATTGCCTAAGGACCAACAGAACAGGGGCTCCATGTGCAGGATATTATACACTGACAGTAGCACCTGAAATTACTTCACTCCCCCCTTCTCTAAATCAATATTTCAAGTTTACACAGGACTTGACTATGGAGAAAAATCCCTTCTTGGAAAAGCACTTCATACAAGGGCTTCGATGCCTTCCCAAACTGAAGCCAGTGTTTCTAGGGCTGGAAAATAGCTTTCCATACATGAAAAGATGAGTCAACACCTCACTATGGGAATCCCACATCAGGTGATCACATTCTCGCTCACTCACGCACATCCACCCTTATATTTATCTGTAGATAATTCCTTCTCAACTCAAAGGGGGCTATGTGGGACAAGTCGAGGGCAGACCTGGACTCTGTCCATATCCTGCCTGCTCTCCATCTCTGGAGAGGTTTGATACACACAGTTAGATCCCAAGCTTCCTTCCGGGCTTGTTCATTCTTGCCCCCACAAACCACAACCACTCTGCCAGCGAAGGCGACGTTTGGTCCCACATTCCCATCTGATCCTTGAGGAAGGAAAAAAGCCATTTCCCAAATCCCACTCAGAGTTCCTTCTGGTTTCACTGCAGGCAGCAAAAGGCAGAGCACAGGCCAACATCAGGAAGGCAGACTTCTATAAAGACAGGGTTAATGAATTATTTCTTGTCTTGAAATAAAGATTTCAAAATGTGACTTGAAAAAAATTTACCTTGCACTGTAAAATTTAAAAATATAGCATGATTTTTTTTTTGCCTGTGGTTTATTCATTTACTCAAGATATGCAGTAATTTCTGTGACTTCACCAAAGGTACCCAACTCAAACAACAGTCAGACATCCTGGACAGCAGAGGGACAGCCCAACACCACAACTGGTATTACAGAGCTCCTCATGGCACACAGACCATAGAATTTGGGAGGTCCTTCCATTTCTTTGCAAGTCCAACTCTTCCTGATAGGTCTTAGTGTAAAGACAGTTGACTATGGAAGCAGGACATCATCCAGTGCATCTTTCATTGCCCAACACATGCTTTCCCCAAATGAGCAAAGCACCAAAACACTTAATTCACCTTCAAATCAGGGCCAAAACAGATGGCCATAAGTTTTTTTTAAATTAGAAGCCTTAAATTGGCAATTTTTCATATGCATGACAAATGTTCATGCTTAAAAATCAGGTCTATATATATTGGTTCAATACTGAGTATGCCTGAAGACAAGAGCTTCACACGAGACCTAAAACACTCAATGTGTGATACTGCTGATTCTCCTCTTCACACCAAGGTTTCACAGCCCCTGCAATCTGTATTCTATTTCACACACTAAGACATTTCATTACCTTTTGGATTTGAGTTTGCATCCTGAAGAATTGGTAATCAGGATGAAGATACCAGTAGAAAACGTCCAAGGAGTTACACACGCACAGAGACAGGGAAGCTACTTTTACAATTAGTAATGCCATCAACAGAAGCCATCACAGCACCTCCAGGAACAATAAAGTCAGTATGCTCATTCTCATTTCCATGGACACTGGCTTGATCTGTCTTGTTCTTCTCTTTCATCTCATGAAATATTAAACAAAAGGCTGGGTCTCTAAGCAGTCTAGAACAACACCACATTTTTGAGGAAAGCAAACAGTACAGTATCTAGATGGTTTGGCACCATCTGTGCACAAACAGCACTACATGCCCTCATGTCAATGTTCATGGATTTCAGGACCAGGATTGTACTAAAAATGCTTTTGGTAAACAAGTAGAGGTTCCCCTCCAGAAAACTGTTAAGATATTTATCAACTAAATTACACTTACTGGAACTAAGTGTTTGTTTTGGACAGAGTGTCTTCAAAGGTTACAAGATTTGTGCCCAATCCTGCATTCCCCACACATTCCCTTCATGAAGGGATGATGGCAGATAAGGAATCAAGCCTCTGGGACGGTGAGCAGATTAAAATGGCTCACAAAATTAGCATAGCTCGATAGTGCTGCTCACTTTTCTGGCTTGGCTGGCAAGGGAGCAAACAAAACAGAAGAGAGGAAGAGCTATTTTCACAAGTAGCAGAGTACAATATATTCTCTTATAAAACTGCAGATTCTGCTGAGCATTACAAAAATTTGCAGGGTTTTAGATATGCAGCCATTAATCATTTCAGGGAAAAAAAAAATCTTTCTGGTTTTTGCTGTTGACTAGGGATATTACAGAATGAGTTACTACCCTTCTTTACAAAGCCTGTTTTTAGTAGATACACTCATTAAACAGTATCAAATATTTAGAATCTCTAAGCCCCTCTTTCTTCAGCTTTTATAACCAAGATGTTTCTGTTAAGTAACTCACAAAACAAATAATCCTCTCCACTATGGAAAAACCAGTTTAGATTAAAAAATAATAATAGTCTTCAATACATAGCCAAGACCTGAACCACAGACAAGTGGAGTGGAAAGAATCAGCAAAAACGATGTGTTTTCACTTGTTCCTCAATTCTGATGTCAGAGGGAAATCTACTTACAGAAATGGAATGACTTGATTTATGGCAAGGGAACATTAAAAACCAACAGAAAACACACACATGAGAAAGCTTACAGAATGACATCTCGATTTTTTAAATCAAAGATGCTTCTAGAAACATCCCCAGGCTTTTTGCTTAGCTTGGGTTAGACAATTTCATGTTCTCCTACAGAGATACTTGAACTGAGACAAGAACGGCCCCCTTTGGAGGGAGCAGCTGCCAAACCTGTTTATTTCTCAACCTTCAGTACATTTAACAAATCCTCATAACCCACAGTGGTTCCTGCTACGTAGCCAAGAGCTCATCAACTATCTGCAGTTGGCCAGTGTAGGTTTATTTTCTGGGCTGATGGACTAAGAGGCACAGCCTAGAAGGCAGGTTCTTCCCAGAGTCTGCGGCAATGATGATGTCTGTGATTCAAAAAATCCAGAAGAAATGAGCAAAAGCAATTATCTCCCATGTTACAGCTTAGGGATCAAAAGCAGAGGGAAGAGAAAGAAGAGTGACTGCAATGAAATCAAGCACTTCCAAGAGCATCAGAATAAAGGAGCTTATGAGATCAGGAGCTCCCACATGAATAGGGAGTTAGGGACAAAAGTCTTTTCCCTTTCACACCTCAGCTTCAGCAATTCATAAATCCTTATTCAAGCACTTGTAGAAACTGCTGGCTATGTGTTTTGGGCCATCTCTTCTCTGACTGCCAAATACAAGAGGGAGTTAGGAGGTAATACCAATTACTCTTTCCCTGGTCCCTGTTCAGATCCTGTGAAATCC